AAAAAAAAATCCAAAGTTTGTTTGTTAGACCGACATGACGTCTAAAAACAATCCCTCTTTTCACAGAATCCTAAGAAGGTTCGAGTCAGGGAATGTTTCATCGTGCTCACCGTACTTGTGCAGTACTCCAGAACATAGGGCCTGAACATACACAAATGCAAAGCTTTACTCTCAAACAGTGAATGTATTTGTGGAACTCGACGTCTGTTTGTGGTTTTCAAATGTTGTTGCGTTTCTGTTGGCTGCACAGCTTCTTTTTTTTTTCTTTCTTTTTTTTGTGATTGGGATGTTGATATGCAGCTATTACCATAGGCAGACATCATGTGTTTCAGTCAGGGGCTCCTTCAAAAGGCTTTATCTATCAATTAATATTCAAAGGTTTAGCTCCAAAGTTATCCCACCCTGATCTGCTTATTGTATTACATCATATTGGTTTTTGCTATGTTGCTTAATTAATGGGTGTATCCTGTTTGGTTTTTTTGTCTACTATTCTACCGCGTCGATGAATTTTAAGTGATGCGCAATGGTGCGCAGTTTGGCTTGGAGTGCAACTGCACCGTAACATGTACTCCACTCCAAGGAAGATCAGTTTTTAAATCCTGTGGCGTGCAGCCCCTGTGTGTATTCTTTGTCAGCCACGCACAGGTGATGAGATGTACCAAATTCAGCAACATTGCACGCCCCTCCTTCTCCATTTGAGGTTAACAATCTCAAAGGCTCTAGAGGGGTTGCACAGCCCAGGATCCAAAAGCACTTGGTGCTCAGCATCCTCGAGCAGGCCTGAGGACTGCTCGGACACCAATAAAATGAAAGCTGAACTTTCTGTGACAGAGTTCCTCCTATAGGCATTGTAACTAACGAGTCCCTCTTATAACAAACTAAACCAAAAAAGCAATAATCCAAAAATGGCTCCACTCTTAACACTAAAATTTAGACCCCCAGGCCTGCCATTATTGGCGCTATATCAAAGCTACCAAACATCCTCTCAATGTCTCATATGGACTGAAAAATAAGCAGTGTGAACACATGAATTTTTGTATGGCACCTATGAAATTATCGGGTAAACATTTGTTGTACTTGGACACAATTATGTAGACATGATTGCTAAATCGAATCTGTTACTGTTCTAAATGTGTAGATTTGTGTGGCTTTGATTTTTCATTTTGGTTTTATTTTTTATCTTAAATGCTACACTTGTGTGACATGTAGCAACTGCACTGTGCAATATACATCAATTTGAGGACTGGGGAAATGATAATTGTTTGGTTGTAATTATGTGTGTCTTACCAGTTTGCAGTCGTTTTCCTGCCCCTCGCCCCTCCTCTAGTTCTCAGTGAGTTTCAGTGTGACCAAGCCGTATATACTTTGTCACAAAAAGCGGGTTCCTTCTTGGTGACTCTTATTGGTGAGTGTCAAATTATGAAATGATGGTGTACCATGTCAAGATTCACTTGGAATTAAAAAAAAATCTTTTGCTTCAGTCTGTGTCTGCCTCTGATTGTACATGGTGATTCGTGAAAGTTTATTTAAAGGGATTAAAACAC